ACCCGTGCCAGTTATAACCCCGTACGTTCGTTCTTGATAACAGCGAAACGGTGCAGAGATAAAGGATATTGTCTCGTGACCGAGAAGAGGAACTGGAACTGTCGCGTCGCGTCGCGCCGTTTGCCTCTGAGCAAATTATCGTTTCAACTTCAAGGGATCTCAGCTCGCGTTCAGGCGCGACGCGATGCCATCCGCGTTCTGTTCCCGGGTTAAAGAATCGGCTACGCAGGACTGACGTTTAATATTACGAGTTGCTGGCCTCAAATAAATTCATTACAGGAATTTTTTACTGAAGGGATTTCTTATTATCATTTGGATACGTAATTATTGAATAACGATCGAATGTAAGATATGTTCTTGAAAATCTCAGAGAACTAACTTTATGCACAGTTAAATCATGATGATTAAGCCTGAGGAATTTAATCAGATCACTCACCCAAAGCAGGAGTAGTCGAGACTCTGGGAAAGTTGTTCTAATTTGGTGCGTAATGCAATTACACTTAAGCAATACTATAACTTCAGCCTTCGCTCATTTTCAGTGTGTCTTTCATTACTCTACAGAATTCCTCATCAACCTTTTAAATGGTATTCGTATCGTTTCTTTTTCATTTCGCGGTTGTGTGCTCGCCCTTCTTCATTCGATCCCTGAGGCACGTAATTTCCCCTTGATCCGCAAGCTCACGATTAAATCATAAAGTATTTATTAAATTCATCTCGGTTTAACTTGGATAAATATTCAAGTACGGTCGGAGACAAAGGAACAGGAAAAAAAACTTGATTATGAAGATTGTCAAGTGTACAGAATACTGAAAATACTAATCATAATTACATGCATATTCTAGGAATAAATGAAGTGACAGGAATATTTGCCCATTGATGAGAAAATCTTTAATTCGTTGATTTAAATTAAACTACCAACGATGTTTATTTAAAGTTTATTCTTTCTTATTGCCATGCAATTACCAAATAATGTAATTAATGTATAACGCATATGCAATCTATAATGCAAGTTGTAGCTTATAATTAAAGCTCGCGCAGGAATTTGATTCTAAAAATCGTCGCTGTCCCACTTGGACAAGACGTCGAATCAATAATGCAGTTTTATCCGAGATTATCCGTTTAATAATGCATAAAGAGCTGAGTGTTTGTCAGTGATCGGTTTTCAATCCATTCTAGTTAGCTCCCAATCGGAAAAAGGTACGGTCGTCTTAATTAGTATTTAATGGGAATGAGACGAACGTGTATTGGAAATGAATGTGGGACCAGGGAAGATGTACGTCAAGATCGGGTCGCGACGCGTGTTCACGATCCTTAATCTCGCTCGTTGGGGTGAGCAAACACTTGAGCAAGGGATCCGTGAGATGGTTTGAAAGAGTTCTCGGAATTAATATGGAAGATTCATTCCGATTATATATAACTACGAATCGGTTTAATGGCAGTGGTAGTAAGTACTATCTACTCTTTCGCTAACTCTCTCATTCTCCTCTTGGCTTTTTAAAATTCTTCCCCGAAGCAGCTAGATTTCAAGCTCGACGGCCACATTTTTGCCCGGTCACGCGATATCCCAAGCTCCACTTTTTATCATGTTTTAAAGAATAATCGCCCGTTTCGAAGGCGGCCGTGCAGTAGCTAGCAAAAGGGTAGAGGATAGGGGAGGCGAAATCCCTGGAACGGGGCGAAAGGGCATAGATTAAACGTGATAATACATCGTCCCGATACCTTTTTGGCGCGATCCACTGGAGCTGGGGGCCACCTCGTTATCCGCTTCACTCGGCCACTCCACTCGCAAGCGGTGGCGCCACAAATTTTGCAAAACACCGATATAAACCGTTTGATAACGTGTCTGGCCCTGGGCGTCTATACAGGCGATCTCGGTGCGTGGGAGAGAAAGCTACATACATACATAGGCGCGTAGATGGTGGGAAAAAGGGGGGTGGAAATTTGGCGAAACGCCAGCTGCCGAGCGATACCGTTTGCAAGGCGAGTATAAACAACGATCGCGTACTACCGAGCGCGTCATCGACGCGACGCGTTGGATTACGCAGATGATATCGCTAATTGCAAAAACTATCCTCGCCAACAGTCGTCTCGTCTGTTGCCGTTCACTTTTTAACGCGTCATAATTTTTTCCAACGCGTTGCGGGTTAGCTGTGCAAAAATTTGCTAATTTTGACCACTGTCTTCCCTTTTAATGCGGTTCTGATAATTTCATACATTTCTTTCAGTCACAAAACGAATTTCGTCGTGAATCTCGAAGAAATTAAAACGTACAATCGAATGGCGTAAACCTATATTTTTAATCAATTTAGTAGTTTTCAATCGTGTTTTGACTCTTCCCCGCGCAATTATAAAATGATTTTAATAATGTTAATTTGCAAATTATCTGGTTAAATGAACATTCAGTTCATGTTATGCGATATATTTTGTTTACACATCGACTTGAACTATTTGGACTTTGAATTATTCAGAGCAGTTATTATGTAATTAGATAATGAACATTATCTTCAGTCAATCGAAATAGATTTATAAGTAGTTTCGTAATTGTTGTAAATTAAAAATAAAGGAACGTATTCCATCGGTCAAAGAAGCGGAGAATATGATTTACTGGCACAGGGGAAACCGCAAGACCCGAGGAAAAAACCAGTCCTCTTCTGCTCCACCTGAGTGAGAAAATCCTGACGCAGTTTCTCCTTGAGGAAATATTTTTAAAGGGCGGGCAACGATGTGCGGGCTTACGGTAATTAAGCATCTTGCCGGGTGCACGGGGCTGGCAGTAAAAACTAAATAAATAGAGGACATCCGACGGGAGAGTCTGGCCGCGGCGCAACACGCCCGGCTCGAATCAGCCTGCCGCTCCTGGTGCTCCTCTGTGCGCGGATATGGCAGAGCTTGCGCAAACACAAAAGCTCACGGCTGAAGACAAACAGCGGCCACTGTAAGCTGCAACGTGCAGCCCTAGGGCGCTGCGGCCTCCGAGGAAGGAAGGAAGCAAGGAAGGATGAAACAAAGACGAGCCAACCTCGGCCCGCAGGGTGAAAAGATAAGACAGAACCGGATGAAACGATGACACCTATGTATATCCTCAACATCGTACGTTCCGTCTTTGGAAGATATTCTTGAGCGAACGTGATACCACTAACACAAATTTACCAGCGAGATATAATAATAATAATAATAATAATAATAATAATATTTGTAAATTAATACATGAGATTGTTTGTAATAAATTTATAGATTAATACTATTTGAAGATTACGTAAAACTTATGCAAGTAATAATAATTCATATAGCGTAAATGTGTAATTTTATTTTACAAATATAATATCTACAAAGAAGATAAATGCGACTGTAGAAGCAGAATGTAGAAAAGATAATAATATTATTGTCAGAATAAACTAAGAATGAATGAGTTGAAGTTGAGAGGAACGGAAACGTAATTTTCTGGTACCCTTCCAGGTGTGTAAATTCCACACTGACAACACTTGGTTGCGACCAAACACTCGACGTGGGAACATATGCTTATTCGGTTGCGAACAGATGCGGATTGTACTCGCGACACAACTTGGGTTCGTTCGCGCGCGTTCTCCTATTACAATCGACTTCCCGACCCCCTTCGAGGATTTTCGAGTGCGTTTCGCAATAAAATGCCGCAGCCGTGTAAACGCGTCCTAACCATCGAGAATCCGTGTCGCTCTCGAAGACATCTCGACCATATGCTCGCGGTATTAAAGCTCGGTTGTACTCCAGAGACGCTTGCATGTGGAACACATACCAACCGAAAACCAACTGGATCTGATAAAATCTCTCTAAATATAAGCTATCTTTTAAATAATTTGAAATAATGTTTGAAATAATTTTCTCGAGGCGAGCAGCGCGAATGAAATTTATTTTGCTGAATTTCGAGGTTGTTTTTTTAAAAAATACCGAGTCAAATTCACTTTAGATCAGAACTCGGGATAGAAAATATTCATTGCAGAGCCGTAAGAAATGTAACGAGAATCATAAGTTTTCCGTGTAATAAAACAAAGATGCGTTTCAAGCCCCAGGACAAGCAACTCGAAAGAAATATGGAACGATAAGAAAAATTCATAGTTTATTCAGAATGCTATGAAGTATGTCGACTCCGATACCTGTTTCACTGCTATTTTGCCATTACTCATTGTCTGTACCCATACTTGGGTATTCTAATTTTAAAACAGCTGATGGCAGATCGATCTGCTCGAATCAGTATTTAAATATGGACTGCTCATTCAATGTCATAATTTCAGAATTTTATGTTTAATTGTATTTTTAATTTGTTCTCACGACTAAAAATAGGTATAATACTTTCGAACATCATTGATAATTTCTTATACTTCTAATTTTATTAAAATATATTTTTAACACATCTATAGTTACAGTATCTATACAAAACTCTAATAATTGATTCGCATTTGCATATACATTTACATACTTATTGCTTACGATCGATAGTAGATTTTTGAACACGGAATCTCGAGATTTTTCACGACTAATATTCGGTCGTTGAACGTTCATAGCTACTTTAATAGGAGTATCAGCGATATTCGATTTTCCACTGGGATGGTCGGTCGTTAGGTTTTCCAACAAAAAGCAGTACACAACACATAGTCAAGTCTGATTTTTGTTCGATGCGATAACGAACAGGTGGGTGGCATCTCAAAAGCCAACCGAAACGCTCGTTGCCAAGGTAGCTACAGTTTATTTATAACAATACAATAGAGGAGAGGCCAAAATATTTTTAGTTTTTCCCTCATGATATTCGACACGAGCAGAATATCTTCATGCCACGGAAATACAATTAAATCACGCCGTTGCATTTAAATGTTTTTCAAAATCATAACAATAAAAAGATATAATATAAAATATGAATGGTTTCAACAAGATTGGCTTGTTTGCACAGCAGAATATTTCAATAAAGTGGAAGCTTTTGCTTTGTCAGTTTCCATAAAAGTTCATTAGTAACTTTTAAATTAACTCACCTATTATTCTTGCCGTTGGATAGGTCAGTGATCGTTCTGAAACAAAAGGTTAAAAAATTGTTATTTTGTTACAGTTTCCAGTAATTTTTCATATCTCCAAAGGATCAAAATTAAGACCTTTTATTCATTAAACAAGTTTACAATTTATTAAAATATCGTAATAGATCATAAATTGCTTTCTAGCATCCGATATGGTAAATCGAAATCGAATTCACGACTAAAATTAAATCGTACCATAGACGCAACGCGTGTTTGTTATACCTAAAATATAATTCAGGCCACGAGCGTAACTCGATGTTGTAAAGCAGGGGATTAATTATTTCATTACTTCAGAGGCTTGACATGTCATAAATTGAATAATGTATTACATATCGTTTAAACATAATTATATCATCATAATAATAGTTTTTCTGAATATAACATGCTCAACAGGAATATCTGATGTACAATGATTTTGATAGCTTTTCAATCATTAACATTATAGTTTAATTTATTATTTGCGTCTCATTAAATTGACTCGTCACGTAATATCCATTTATTTTGCATACCACTAAATTAATTTGCGATGTAATATTAAAGATTAGAATCTGACACTTTGACCGATGTATCATGGGATTCGTTAACTACAGCGTGCGTCGACTTATTCTAAGGTGTTACTACTGCGATGATGGAACGCCGCGTTATTACTGACTCATACTACTTCGCATCATGCTCCATCAAGGAGTTTACTATAACGTAGGCTACGCGTGTGCAGGAGAAGATGGACGAGTGTTTCACTCACATTTTATTAACGTCACAGTTTAAATCACATTATGATGATTCTTTTGTACTTATTATTTTTTATTAAATACTATTCAATGATCATAGTTCAATTTCTTAGCTCTTTTATAATCTCCCATGAAGAAACTAAAGGTAAAATTTAGAACTATTATTCATTTAAATCAAATGAATAAATGCTCGCTCGTCTTCGTTCTCCAATACATGTTTCTCTTTGAATGGGAATTGACAGTTTGGAAATATCTGGAAAAATGTTCGTGCCACTCGAATTTGAATGGAGTGAGGGACGAATGAGCATTAGTTCGTTTGGTGTAAATGCAGTTTCCTATCAAATAATATATCTATATCGTGCACACCTAACTCATTAGAGTTTGGTTCCATATAAACATAGAAAAATACGCAATATCTGAATTGTATATAAAGGGCGATGTATATGCCAAAACGGTACATACGATTACGTATAACTTCGAAGTCGCACTATCGAGAGGGTTCATCTACTTTTAATTCTGTTCTTTAATCTTTACACCGTGCGACTGATTTTTAGTCAGTTCTCTAAAAAATCGATGAAAAACGTGATTCAAGGGAAGAGCCGGATAATTTCTTCACTGCGGGACGGCGCTATTCCGAGCGATTATCCATCGAATTTATCGCGCGTATCTCGCGCGGTTAACCGTACACGTCGCCGTGCCGCAGCAGCGACAATAATTTATCGTCAGTTCGCGTTCCGAAAAATGCCGTTACTGATTCATCCGCAGACGCATAAAAAGCACACGGCCATACGTTACGCCCCGTGTTCCCATTTTACGCACACGCAAATACACGCCAGGTTATAAAGCGCGGCGTTGCGTTGCACCGCGTATATGATATTTTCCATCCGTTTCCCCTGTTCCCCTTTTTTCCCCTTTTTTCTCCTCGTTCTCGTTTGGCGTCGGCCAGCGTCGACACAGCAGCGTACGTGAAAGATAACAGAAGTTCGAGAACTCCATTATCACGTTGTGATGCGACGCATGAAGGGTTGAAGGGAGCCCACCAAGTTAATAATAACGATCCAAACCACATCCTGGTGTTCGTCCTACGTTTTGTTTTTCTCATTTTTCTCCCACCTGATGATTACATAATATTTTTCGTGCGGAGGGTGTGTAATTGTGTTTCGCATGATTTATGAAGTTCCTGCATTGTACGAAATTATGTTTGCGAAAATATAAAATATTCCCGAAAATATTCGGAAGGTAATAATTGTAATATTTTATTTCAAATTTTAATATAAAAAGGCTGCTTATTATTTTTTTTTGTATATTATTTCCACCTCATTTGCCATTATCTATAAATCTACGCTAACAAAGTAAACAAGTAAAAATGAGAATAAGGGAATAAATGTTAGAATGTGATTTTCCAGAACGCTGAAAATATTGAAAATCTCATACCACGATTTATTTCGCTTATTGATTTATTGATTCACATTTTGCAATACGATTCTTTCGGGAAGAATACGGGTCGATTTGTTTCACGACTTGTTCAACGCTTGAGGTAGTATCGTTCCTTCGGATCTCTCCAGAGTGATAACGTATTGCACTTCGCTTGTAAGTATCCTTGGCAGCAAGAAAAGGTTGAGAGTTTGGAACCGAGAGTCAGAGGGACCCAAAGTCGCAGTAAGATAACAGTCTACAGTAAGTCTGGACAATGTGTTCTGCCGACAAACTCCTTTGTCGTAAATTAGCACGATTCCTTGACTTCATGTACTCTTTGAAACTCGATGAAAGATAGGGAACGGGATATTGTTCTCTCGCGATCTAAACACATTTCTGACTAACTCAATAGTGGAAATAGAGAAACCGGATTCTATGAGATCAGTCAATCGTATATAGTACTTCTTGATTAAGGAACATATAATTTGAAGTAATATAATATTATGACCAAAAGGAGAATTATGTTCTTTCGTTTAATGAAATCAAATTTCAATTTTTGCTAGAGTAACTGAATCACTGAAAAATCTGACTAATTTCATCCACGAACCGTCACACGTCAAATAGATCGTATTTAAAACATGTTAAAAAATAAATCACTACGAGATCATTTAACCCATAATTTGCCATTCATTAAATATCTCGAAAATTAATGAGAAGAGATTTACTGTTATGAATCGATATGGTCCTTAAATGCGGTCCTGATGTAGAAATGATATTTGATCTGCATGATAAGTAGGATAGACCACTAAAAAACGAATAGCCGAAGGGAAAAAAGACTGAACTGAAAAGACGACGAGTAGGCAACGACGATCGATCATTAAGCTCGTTTATGGTAATCGGTTTTTAAATCGTGATTCGGTTTATGCGAAATACGTAATCATCGTAAAATACGGTTTAAAATAAATAGCGATTTCCTCTGGACCTCTTCGCCTCTCATTGCTTTCATAACCTTCATCCCCCCCACCCCAAGAGAGGATACTTGACGGTATCGTTGGACGTAGTACGCAGAGTAAGACTTTTCCACGGCACTTCAGACTTCTCTGGTGCGCCAAGTAGAGAGCTATTTACGTATCCCATTTCCAGCAAAAGTTAATCCTCCTCTTTTTTCTCCTTCTCTCTTCATCGTCTATCTCTTTCCCGCATTCTGTGATAAATACACGACGGGGTGTCCTTTCTGCATTCCAAAAACGTTCAAGAAATTCAGTCCGACAACTCACACAATGAAGTAGTTGCTACGGATATCATAGAGTCCCGCGGCGATATAATTAACATATAAGTACTTAACGCGTGCGTTAATCTGGTTTGGTCTAATTTCTCGCGGTCTTTGAGTCGTTCCTCCCGAATACGTGTATCGAGATCAGTCTCTTGGAAATCTCAATGCCGTGAATAAATTATCTAACTTGAAGACCTGAAGACATTTTTTTTATATATGAAATCAGCCATATAATTTTTTATATACATATTTTTCGATTCTCGAATACATATGTTCATTTCAGCGGGTATCTATGTCCACTCGAATTGAATGTTATAGCGTGTGAATAATTGAAGGAGTTTTGTCATAGTGACACGATTCGCTGTCCCAGAAGAGCTATTCACAAGTACAATCCATTTGCATCTGCACGTGTATACGCACATTTAGTATAATCGTTCTTTTATTTGCTAACGTGAAACCATAGTTAAGCCCAGTTTCTTAATTTAATTCAAGAGCACGAATTAATGAGCTGGAATTAATAAAAATAGAATATACGATGGTAATAAACTTTCGTGTTCATTTAACCACCCTGTCGGAACAGATAGTCCAGTTATTTAGAGATGCACTTCTAGGTAAGAAATCTCTAGGCTAAACTTATTTCTAAAGAACGGCGCAGATTAAAATCCTTTTTCTCCGAGCCTATGTCTCTAGACCGGCCAGTGCTAAAGCTCGCCATAGTACACGAGCCTTTTCTAATTACTGGTTTTAATCTCGCAACATTACTTCTGAAGAAAAACATGCCGCACCGCGTGGAATTCTACCACCGAAACGGGGGGTAACTAAAGTTATTCATTGCATAGCGTTCTTTTCATTTGTTCTATTTTACGTTCAAGACACCCTGCTGCAGATACAGGCATAAATGTTGTATGAACACGAATTTAGTTTAGACGATTTATTAAAATTAAACAAGCACTCTCCAATTTTAAATTATATAATAATTCGACAATTTTCACGATTTTGTGAAGATTGGTTCAAAGTGTATGAGCATTGCTTGGTTTTAAAACCACTTCAACAATACAGTTAAAAACAAGAAATGCAGTCCATTTAATTATTAACATTTTCGCCGTTTCCATGCGGAAAACCTAATCAACACTTTATTGATATTTATTCTTTTCAGAGATCACCGATAGATCCAGGATACCCTGATCATTTGAAACAGTGACAATTCTTTGTATATTCCATAAAATTCGATTAATTTTATTATTATAGAAGTGACATCATGAACGTCAATATAAAATTGTTAACTGTGTCAATTGCATAGATTATCCGAAAGTGTTTTTAATATGTTCCCGTTTATTCTTATCTGAGCCACCAGTAAACATTACCATCGTTTGACACGTATACTACTCTAATCGAGCTAACTTCTCAATCGAATAAAGTTAACTAGGTTGTCCATCACGCAATTAGACAACATCGCGTTCGTGCAACAACCGAGGTCGCAAGGAAATATCGATGCAACCTCGTTCAATCTCCTTCCAGCGCATATGGAACGTTCAACCGTTAATAAGATGAATCGTGCACGTAGGCACGGCCCTTTTTC